TGATGAAAGATATTGAGTGATACATTTTGTTGACTTAGCAATGAAAAGTTTTTTCTTTCATGTTGCGGAGGTGGTTCAAGGTGAGGGATAGAATCAAAGGTATGAGAGAATCATTGGTAGAGGCTTGGATGATCAGGCTGTCACAAGGAGAAATGTTAAGGTCAAGGCTGCTCACGAGTAAAGAACGTGAAAGGCATTAAAGCATTGGTGGTGGATCCTGTGTCTATGTAACGTGTGCATATGCAAGGCAGGATAGTGGCTGGAGAGGAGAGAGTTGTTGGCAGGGGAGGAGAGGGAAGTAAGGCTGGACAAGTCATGTGGAGGCGTATTAGGAAGGATTTAGGAAATCAGGCAATATATAGGTTTGAAATTATCAGGAGCTTTTGTTTGGGGCATGAGAGTGGGGACCTCCGCGTTACTCTTCCCCACACCGGGGAACTTCTCGAAAAGGGTCACCTGTCCTCATTGTTTTTGCTTCTTCTTGGCTCCCATTGGTTCCCTCACCCCCATACAGTCTGGAAATACATCAGATATCCCATAGCATTCTGCCGTCCCTGTTCTCATCAAGGTCTCCAGAAGCTACTTGATAACCAGCCTTCTCCTTCTTCCTGGTTCTTAGCCCCTTGATTTCTCAAGAGCAATTGACGCACCAAGTTATGGCTTTAGCTACTTCCCAGATGTTGGGGACCCCCAAATCTATCTCCAGCTCAGGCTTTCTTCAGAGCTCCCGACCTGGGTAATCACCTGCCTTCTAGCCTGCATCATGGGGAGGCTCCAGATTTCTTCCAACCCAACACAAACCCAACGGGACTAGTTTCCTCCTCTCTAGCCTTGCTGGTTCTCTGCTTGTGTCCTGTGGTTGGGCAATGGCACTGCATTCCCCAACCAGAGGGTTACAATGGCCCCCACTTCCCACCAGGTTCACTCTCTTATCGGAACTCTGTGTGGTTGGCTTCTGCCAGAGTGATTTTCATAAAATGCAAAGTAAATCGGACCACGTCACCACTCTCCTTTACCTGCCCCCCTTAAATATTCAGTGATGGGATAAGGCTCAGAACCCTTCATGTGACAAATAAAGTTTATCATTACTTGGTCTCTGGACCCTGTGTTCCACTTGCCCTTCTGGTACGCCTTGTTCCTCCTTGTCTTGGTGCCTGCTGCTCCTCCTCTTGAAATACCTTCATTTCTTACCCCTCACTGATCACGAGGGCATGCTTTGTTCCTACCCCAGCTCACTACCCACAAGACACTCAGTAAACTCTAAGGTAACTATTAATCCTCTGTGTGTCCCCCATTTTCCATCCCACTTCCCCAGCTGGTGAGCTCATTGACAGTAGGCAACTTTTAATTTTTTCTTTCTTTCCTTTTTTAAAAAAAGATTTTATTTATTTATTTGAGAGAGAGAGAGAGAGACAGACAGACAGACAGAGGGTACAGAGGAAAAGGGAGAAGCAGACTCCCCACTGAGCAAAGAGGCTGATACGGGACTCGATCCCAGGGCCCTGAGATCATGACCCGATCCAAAGGCAGAGGCTTAGCCAACTGAGCCAACAAGGTGCCCCTAATTTTTTCAATGTAGCTTTATTTCCTGAGCTACAAATAGTAGGGGTGCAGTGATTTATGAATGAATGAACTTTGGAATTAGGAGACAGCAGAATTCGGTCATATCCTTGCTCTGTTTATTTTGTTGGGGACTGTTTGGTAGAGAACGTGACCCTCCTGCAACTTGAGCGTCTTGCTTGAGGCTTTTTGTATTAGAAGCTGCAGCGCGTTGTGACAGGTCTTGGGGACAGGAACGGTTTCTACTGTACATTGTCTTCTGTTTAAGTTGTGTGTACAAGCCCACTTAACAAACATTCCTTTGGGCACCTCCTTTGTACCAGACTCTGGGCAAGGCACAGAAGCAAATGGTAATAATACTACAATAATGCTTCTAATTATTCTGTCCCTCCTCTACTCTGCATCTAGGTTAGTTCATGAGTTCAGCCACTTCCTAAATATGGGTAAACAGAGGCTCATATTTAAAATATCTTTTCTAGGGCACCTGGTTGGATCAGTCGGTTAAGCCTCTGCCTTTGGCTCAGGTTATGATCTCAGGGGCCTGGGATTGAGCCCTGCATGGGGCTCTCTGCTCAGCAGGGAGCCTGCTTCCCCCCACCCCCCCCACCACCTGCCTCTCTGCCTACTTGTGATCTCTCTCTCTGTCAAATAAAAAAAGAAAATCTTTAAAAGAAAATCTTTTCTAAGAGAATACAGAAACTAAATGGGAAACCATATTTGAACCGAGGTCTGCATTTATTCCTATACCCATTTCTCCTTTCAATAACACATAATACCTCATAGGTACCAATTGTTGAATGCCTTCTCTCTCTGAGGTGCTAGATATGCATTCTTTGGATTTAATTCTCCTCTAATACTTTGCAAGTCATGATCCCCATTTTCCTGGAGAGGCAATGGGGTCAGAAAGGTTAAGTAATCTGCGTAGGATTGTAGAGAACGGTGGCAAGTGGCAGAGCAGAGATAATCACTCAGGTCTGCTGGACCCTCAGGCCCCATTCCCTGCCCACGTAGCCTATGGCATGATCGAGCCAGAGGGCAAAGCTTTTCTTGAGTAACAGGTTCACCATGATAAGTGCAGGTGTGAGAGCAAGGCCAAGGAGTCGCTGCTTCAACAAGGGAGGGATGGGCACAGCTGTTCAGCTGGGGGTTCCAAGTGTTCTGATGATGTCAATATTACACTGTTAAGTCATTCATTCATTCATTCATCACATATTTTGGGGTCATTTAATTTGTTAAACATACCAGTGGCAACTGATATAAACATAGGAAAGACAAAGGAACTTTTAAAGAGAGCTCCTGGTCTTTTTAGAAGGGCATAGAGGGATGAGAAACAGAAACAAATGCCTTCATCAGACGTAGGTGCCAAATCAGAGCTTGTCACCAGGTGCCATCCACCAGGCGTGGACATAGCCCAGCAGCTCCACCTATGGTCTAGGCTCGAGTCCACTCCCTCCAAAATCCTCCCCAGGCCTGGAAGACCTTCCAGGATCTGTCCTGCCAATGGCTCTCACCTTCTGTGCTTCTGCTACATACGCTTACTTACGGTTCTCAGGGTAACTAAACTCGCTCCTGCCCCTGCCACAGGGCCTTTGCCCCTGCTACTCTACTGTACATCACAGTCTCTCTCTAGTACTCTGCATCCAGACTTCTCTCAGTGTCTCCCCTCTTGTGGAGGAGGGGTTCTGGATGGCCCTCCCCATTCACTCGTGTCCTCCCTCTTCTCCCAGCACCAGTCATACTCTTAAGGGCATGGGTTCCAATCTCAGTTCTGCCATTTTACCCACAAGGTAAAATTAGACAAGTTATTTAACCTCTCTGCATCTCATTTTTGTCAACTGAAAATGGAGGTGATAACAATGACACCCCCACTTCCCAGTGTACTGCTGTGGGGCTTCCCTGAGCTTATATACGTAAACATCAACAGCGCCTGCGCATAGGAGGTCTGCGATAAACGCGAACTGTGCGACTCTTCTCGTCATCATGCGTCTGGCCAGTACTTACTGGGTTGGACCACAGAGACCACGGAACACGGGGAACACAGGCCGGGAGTGCAACAGCCGCCCAGGCCAGCACAGCCTCTGTCCACAGGGGGCTTGCCTGCCTGCCTGAACCACTTCCCCCGTCTACACACGCATGCATGTGGCCTGTGGCCTTTCGCCTGGAGGCCACTCTTCCTCCCTGTTCTCGTTTCTCTCCTCCTCGCCCCACCACCTGCCCGGCGTCCAGGAGGCCGCCGCCACGGCTTGAGACAATACATCAGTCTGTGTGTTTTTACACCCATGTGATCTGTTCGTTGCTTGTGGTTCTGTCCCTCCCTTTAGTGGTAGACGCCATTAGAAGTTTGGCTGGTGAGGAAATGGTAAAAATCTCACCAAGGGGTGAAAAAAGCAGAATAATAGCTAAAGGCCCACCTCTTGGGTTTCTTCGTGATCTGTTGATGTTCCACAACCCCTGGAACTGCCCATCCCCCCAAATCGGCCTGCCTTCTCCTTGCCTGGATTTCACTTCCTCGCAGAAGTCTTCTCTGCCTTCCCAAGACCGTGGGCTCTGGAGTAGACCTCGTGCGCCCATGTTCTACCCCGGGGGGGAACTGTCTCCGCCCCTCCCTCCCCACAAGTCTGCCCATGCTATATGGCTGGTGCCACGTCTTTCGTCTTATTCTCCATGGGATCCTTAACCCCCCAGTACCTTCCTACTATTAACAAGTAGTGTTCTTAATCTATATAATGATCTTAGAGGACACGAACCAATAAAGCAGGTAAATTAGGAAACAGTGGTTTGTATTGGGTTACAAAAGGTCTATTCACTTTATAAAAGGAGTTTTTGTAGGGTTCCTTTGAGTAGCAAGTCAGGGGTATTGCTGGTAAATTAACCCCCAAACCTCAGTGGCTTCACACACACACACACACACACACACACACACACACACACACACACACAC